TGAACCAAAACTGGTTCTTCTATGGAATCACTGCAAAAAATCCCTTTCTTATATTTAAGAGTGAAAAACAGGATGCTTTAACTTGCTCAATAATCTGCTAGTCTGTATACTCTAATCTGGTGTCACAACTGCTTTTTGGTTATGGAGAAAAAACAAAACAAATTTGTGTGCGTGTTTGGTTTTAATAACAGTTACACCTTGTTTCGGCTTGATTGTTGAACTGTGTTAGACATGATGCAACAAGTTAATTAGCACTGAATTGCACTGTAGTGTGCGAGTTTCATTGAATCGAGTTTCATTTGAAGGTCACTAAAAAGGGTCAAAGACCACTTGAGTTAAACAGTTAAAAGTGTTATTAAAGCTTTAATTGACTCAAATCATCTTATAGGCCTCAGGATTGTCAAGCTGCCAGAATGCGGATGTGAAACTGTCCATAGGAGATCTGGTGTCTTAAAACCACTTCGTTATGTTATTCGTGATGTAGTAACTTCATTTTAAAGCAAACTCCAATGTGGTTAGCTGGATCTGTTTGAAACTGAGTCTGTGTGACACTTAGACCCAGTTAAAGTCAAAGGGCAATTAGTCCATACTAAGGGTTTAGCACAGGAATAGCAAGTGCACACAAGACTTCAACTTCAGCACAATGGGATTGATTTAGAGAAAACCGGTTTCTTTTGTCATTGTCTCTGATCAAAGTCTTCAGTGTTAGGGATGTGCGGATCGATCCTTAAGTATCGATACTTTCGATAATGATGTTGTATCGAAAGGATCGATCCTCACATAAAAATATAGATTCTAAAGTGCATTTTTTTACCATTAATTGTATTTATTTATCAAGAAATTTGGTGCATAAAATAAGCTTCTAAGTGGAAAAATAGACCATATTAGCGAATAATTGTGTTGGATAGAACCATTTCTCCTGCTCATCGGAACACACGCAAATGCTGAAAGACAGAACCAATCACTCACAGACAGCGTTCGCTGCTGACGCATGGCTCAGACAGAGTGCTTGTTCAAATAGGGCTGCGTTTCCCAAAAGCATCAGAAGCTTAAGTAGATCTTAAGAAACCATTGCCACATTATTACATTACATAACATTGTTACTATATATAAAATTAATTCTGAAAAATGCATCACAGTTTCCACACAAATATGAAGCAGCAATAATAATAAATGTTTCTTGAGCAGCAAATATTAGAATGATTTCTGAAGGATCATGTGACACTGAAGACTGGAGTAATGATGAAAATTCAACTTTGATCACAGATGCATTTTAAATTACATTTTAAAATATATTAAGTAGAAAAGTTATTTTTAATTGTTATATTTCACAATATTGCTGCTTTTACTGTTTTTTTTGTTTTGTTTTTCAAATAAGTGCAGCCTTCGTGAGCATGAGATTTAAAAAAATATTACAAAATCTTACTGACCCCAAACTTTTGTGTACATGTAATATTTATTTTAAATTGGCTAGTTTGTGCAAGTAAATTTATTTAAACTGGTTGTTAAAAGTTCAAATGGATTGTGTTATGTTCTGTAATTGCTGTTAATAAATCTGTCAGAAAAAAATATGATAAAGTTTCATCTTTAGGGGTACAACAGCCTGGCAGCCTTTTACAAAAATTAACCATGGTTTTATTACAGTAACCACAGTTTACCACAGTATTTGTACTAAAACTGCAGTAACCTACCAGTAACCTAACCAGTAAACTTACCTACCCTTAAAGCATGCATACTTGTATGGTACTAATATGCTCCCTTTTAGGGGTATAGTTGCACCTTTGAGGTTACTACCCCAGTAAAGGGCTAAATACAATTATAGTATATTTTATTTCTGACATATGAAATGTTAAAAAACATGGCTTTAAAGTCTAATATTAAGTGAGTATAATTACTGATTATATTCTTTTAATAGTTGAAAATATCAGTTTAGTTTAGAAGTATTGGTATCTGTATCGATATCAACGATACTGGGCTTGAAAATATCGGTATCGGATCGAAAATAAAATAAGAGGTATCGCCCATCCCTAGCTCGTGGCAATGCAGCAGCATCAGCATCCCAGCTGTTTGCTTCCCTATAGGCCGCTTTCGGCGTCAAACACGAGGCGGGGCCACGCGAGTGGAAATTCCCGGTACCGGCCTGTGATAGGCACGAGATGTGGATACGGAAAGCGAATAGATGAAGTGAAATAAAGTTCATCTAGCTCATGTATTCGTGGCGTTCAAATGGGCTCTTAAAGGGATAGTTCATACAAAAATACAAAATTGTCATATTTTTCATGCAGTTCCAAACCTGTGAGACTTTATTTCTTCTGTGGATGTGGAACATAAAAGATAATCCTATAAGCAAAATGAAGGACTCAGACACCATTTACTTTCAAAAAACACGAAAAATTTCATTGAAAGTGATAGTCAATCACTCACATATATTCATTTTATTGTAAAACCAAAGAAATAATTAACTCATTTATTAAATGAAGAAGAGCCTTGACATTTGAAAAGAGCAGCCATCAACTAGTAATCAACTTGTACGTCTGTAGAATACAAATTGGTCATAGTAACCTAAATTTAAAATGTTACATGAGTATGTCTATAATGATTATTAATTCAGTGTAAGCCCGTTTAAATATTGTTATATTAACCCAAGAGAGAGAGAACAGCTGGTACGGCATGACAGTATGTACATTTAATCTTCAGACACATGACGATGCACCAGTATGTACATAGTGTGTGTATGCAGGTGAGTGCCCAGGAGAGGGGAGGAAGAGGAGGGGAGGGGTGTGCTGCAGCAGGACGGTTTAGCCGGGAGGAGGGGAGGGAGAGGAAGAGGCACAGATCCGAAAATAAAACAAGAGGTATCGCCCATCCCTACTCGGTGTCAAATCTTCTATTGGAGAACATCAGACACTTTCCAAGAATATGATAAAAAAGAGGGCCAGAAATTCTTTAAAGAGGTCATATGATGTTGCTAAAAGGAACATTATTTTGTGAATTTGGTGTAATGACCATATTATCATCCAAGTGGATGCTGCACACTGGTGGTGGTTGAGGAGAGACCCCCCCACATGATTGTAAAGCGCTTTGGGTGTACAACAATACACAGTAAAGTGCTATATAAATGCATCATTCATTCATTCATTCATATTGTGATGCCCTGTCCGGCCGAAAGCGACGAGACAAAAACATTCAAACCCATTATAAACGAGGCATTTGTTGCATCCAGTGGGG